TGCGTTGCTACTGAGAAATCAGATGCCATTCTGATTCTGGATCCTTTATGTGAAACCTTATTTCCTCCTGGGTACTTGTAAGATCTTCTCTATGTCCTCAGTCTTCTGAAGTTTTATCACAATGTGCCTTGGTGTGGTTCTGGTTTGTCCATTGCACTGTGCTCAGTGAGCACTTTCAATGTGGAAATGCATGCTCTTTATTTCTCAAAATATATAATTGAATAATTCATTTCTTACCCCGTTTCCCAGATGTCCAGGGCTGGCTTTCTAATCTTCTTATTTTTTCTTATTTCTTCCCCTTCTCTTTGCCTTTTGTCTATGCATTCTAGGATATTTTCTAACTTTATCTTCTTAACATTCTACTGAGTTTTTCATTTTTGCTATTGTATTTTTAATTTAAAAGAGCTGTATTTGGTTCTATGAGTGTTCCTTTTTTAGAGTATTTATTTGTTTACTTATTGAGATAGTGTCTCGCTATGTCACCCAGGCTAGAGTGCAGTGTCTGTTCACAGGTGTGGTCATAGCACGCTATAGCCTCAAACTCCTGGGCTCAAGTGGTCCTCCTGCCTCAGCCTACCAAGTAGCAGGGGCTACAGGCTCATGTCATCGCGCCCAGCTTTTCTGTTCTGTTTGATCTTTCTCAGAGAAGATCAATAATAGATTTCTCAGTTTTCTTCTCCCCATATATTCTTTTTCTTCCTTGTCTCATTTTTCCTGTTAGCATGTTTTGGGCTCTGTCTTTAATGTCAGATCCTTCCCTTACATTGTGACGACTTTCAGCTGCCTGCTCTTACTTAAGTGTGCCAGATTTAGCAACAAAAAGAAAGAAAAAAAAGACAGGACGTCTGGTTAAATTTGAATTTTAGATAAACAATGATTAATTTTTAGTATAAGTATGTCTCATGCAATATTTTGGACATACTTATAGTACATGAGTATTTTATATTTTAGTAAAACATTACTTGGTGTTTCACTGAAAATCAAATTTAACTAAGTGTCCTGTATTTTATCTCACAACCCTAAGAGTGAGATCTGCAAAGCTGCCTGGAAGCCCTGAGTGCGTGTGTAAGTGGGTGGGGCTTGACAAGGGGGAGTTGACTAACAGGTTCCTCCAGTTTCATTGCGCAAATTATTACATTTTTTCAGGTCTTTCCTCTTAGATTCCCCAGAGAAGAGTATTCCAAACTCCCCATCCTAGTGAGTTTGGTCCTGGCTGCAAGAGTTCTAGGAGCCAAGTGGGAAGAATACCAAGCAGCTCAGTAGACATCATCTTAAGTTTCATGTGGCTCTTCAATTTCAGTACAGTAGCCCTAGTCTTGTGTTCATCTCTTGGCCTTGATGAAAGATGGCTGCAAATTCTTTGCACCCTCCCACCCCTCCCCACTCAGAGATGGAGCCTAATCCCCTTCCCTCGAATCTAGGCTGGCCCTAGTGACAGGCATGACTTATAGAATGCAACAGAAATAACATGCATCAGCTTCCAAGCTTGCATAATAAGAAGCCTTGTAACTTCTGCCTGGATGTCTTGGAGTATCATTTCTGGAAACCCTGAGCCTCCATGAAGGAAATCTGACTCTGAGCCTGCCATGTGAAGAGGGCATGTGTAGATGCTCTAGTTGACAGTGCCAGTTGAGACCAACCTTCCAGCTCTTCTTATCATGGTACCCAATACGTGAGTTCTCCAGACTGGCCCATCTGCCAGCTGGATAACACCAAGTGACCTTTCTTGATGTCAGGTGGAACAGAAGAATTGCTCAGTTCAAATTCAGACCCAGAAAATCATGAGATATAATGGTTATTGTTTTAAGTCATCTTCAAGTGTTGGGGTGGTTTTTAGGCAACCTTAGACAACCAGAACACCTCGACTACATCTGGTGTCCCCATTCCAGAAAGCCCTGCATGATTCTTCAGAGGGCATGCGTCCAATCATCCGCCCTGGCGGAAGAGGAGCAGTGGCCACTGTGCAGTGTTGGGGAGGCTCACTGCTTCTTGTACAGACTTACAAGAAATCGTCCTGGGTTTAGTCTCACCTACACACCCACTTTCAAACGCATCCAGTGCAGCAAACTCTCCTATTCTGAGAAATCCCACTGTCATGTTGTTTCTTGGTTTTCCCTACTCCTGGTTTGGAAGTCGGCTTTCTCAGGTCTGTTCAGTCAGTTGTTGCCTGTCCACGTGCTTTCCAGGTTCCAAACTCTTATTATTTTTCCTCTTTTATTCCCTTGTCCTTGTGAGATTTAAAAATTTTTTTTTAATTTAAAAAAGTGTGTTTTTTTTTTTGCGGGGTGGGGCGCAGGGGACAGAGTTTCACTCTGTCACCCAGGCTGGAGTGCAGGGGCATAGCTCACTGCAGCTTCAAACCCCTGGGCTCAAGTGATCTTCCTGCCTCAGCCTCCCCAGTAGCTGGGACTAGAGGTGTGTGTCACTAGGCTTGGCTATTTTTTTTTTTTTAGGAGACATGGTGGGTGGGGGAGAGAGTCTCATTATGTTGCCCAGACTGATCTCAAACTCCTGACCTCAAACCATCCTCCCGCTGCGGCGTTCCAACGTGCTGGTTTACAGGCGTGAGCCACAGCACCCAGCCCTGTCTTTAATTTAAAGGCTCCTTGGAGTTGAATTTCTACAATTATATTCATTCTTTAAATACTCTTAGATCAGGTTTCCTAGAAACAGAGCCTGATCCTGGGATTCTAGTGCAAGTGCTGTAGTGAGCGTATTCTCGAGGGAAGCCTCTAGGTAAGTGAGGGAAATAGGATAGGCCAGAGGGAGAAACTGGGCAAATTTTTGATGAAGTTTAGCCTCAGTCTGATCCCATGGGAGCTCTGGCATGTGAAGGGTACCGCAGATTTATTCCTGGCCTTTTTTTTTTTTTTAAGTGGTGACAGGTCATTTATTTAGAAAGAAATATTTCCTTTTTGTTTAAACAACAAAACTTCACAAAGGAATAATTCATTTGCATTATCTTGATTTGTTTATAATAAATATGGTCAAATAAATGTTCAAAATCCAAACTCAGCCAAGTTCAAGGTTTCTCAACCCTGGGGATTTCCCTAATGTAATTGAAAAGCTATTATTCAATGTCCTCTGAGCATCTTCTGAATCTCTGCACTGGATTATACGCCATCATCTAATTTATTTTTTTATTTTTTTACTATTAACATTTTTAATTGTATCATATTTGTAGCTGTTACATTGTGAATAGCACAAAAAAATGGCAAATAATCTCCCAATATTTAAAAAGTATTATCCAATGCAGCAAGGAAGTCACATCTTTTATACCCTAAAAATGTTAGCCTCTGGCTGTGGCTTCGCCAGTCTGGTCTGAGTGCAAATATTGGCAGAAGCGGGCAGTGAGGGGGCAGTGAGCTGGGGCTGGACGCACCCACCTAGTAAAGATTATTTGAGTGGGGTGCCAACAGCGTCTGCTTCATTCCTAACCTTTATTTTTTTCGTGTAGCCTAATTTTTCTTTCTTTTTTTTTAGAGACAGGTTTTCACCATGTAGCCTAGGCTAGTCTCCCAAACTCCTGGCCTCAAGCAACCACCTGGGCCTCCCAAAGTGTTGGGATTATAGTCTGAGCCACCTCACCCAGACTAACTGTTGCTTGTAAGGGATGCAGTGTCTCTCTAATCTTGCTGAGGAAATGAATTATCTGTATTTCATTTCTTCCTACTGTTTGCCCTTTAATTTTTTGTTTTGTTTTGTTTTTGTTTTGAGACAAGGTCTCACTCTGTCGCCCAGGCTGGAGTGCAGTGGTGCAGTCATAGCTCACTGCAACATTGACCTCCTGGGCTTAGAGTGATCCTCCTGCTTCAACCTGGCCAGTAGCTGGGACTACAGGCGTACGCGTCCGGCTAGTTATTTTACTTATTTTTTCTTTTCTTTCTTTTCTTTTTTTTTTTTTTTTTCGTGACAGTGTCTCGCTCTGTTGCCCAGGCTGGTGTGCGGTGGCGCAGTCTCAGCTCACTGCAGCCTCGCCTCCCAGGCTCGGGTGTTTCTTCCACCTCATGCTACTGAATAGCTGGGACTACAGGCGCATGCCACCACACCCGGCTAATTTGTGTGTGTATGTGTGTGTGTGTGTGTGTGTGTTTTGTTTTTTGTTTTTTGTTTTTGAGATGGGATTTCACCACGTTGGCCAGGCTGGTCTCGAACTCCTGGACTCAAGCGATCCACTTGCCCTGGCCTCCCAAAGTGCTGGGATTACAGGCGTGAGCCACCGTTCCCAGCCTTAATTTTTTAAGTTATCACATGCAGACAAAAGAGGCAGAACCAGTTTTAGTATCCAAATCAGTCTAATCCTAAAACCCATGCTCTAAACCATATTAAACCACCTTTTAAAATTATAGCTTAATGAAATAATTTAATGTTACCTCTCCAGCTTTAAGGGTGCCATTAACCACTTAGATTTTGATGTGTCGGATAGAAAACACTCCCCAAACGGGCTGTTCTCTGTTTTTTAAAAAAATTGAATTTGCCTATAGACTCAACGGATTCATTCTGCAAGCAAGCATTCACTACGTGGCGGAATCGGTGCTGGGCATGGGTGCTAAGACGACCTAGCCCTAGTTGGTGGCTTCAGGAGGCTGTGTCCAGCAGGGGAAGCAGATATAAAAACACAACACTTTTACAAGGGATGAGCGCCGCGCCAAGTCAAACCTGGGAGCTACGGACAGTGTCTAAACCTCAGTCACTCACAGGAGTATAAAGATCCGGAGCTGCTCCTACTCCAAAGCTTTGCCGGCCTGCTGGGCGCACAGGGAAGAGGGAAGTGCTGGAAACTTTTGGGAATGTGTTTTCATGTGAAAGAGGGAAATGAAAAGTACCCTTCAGATTTCACTTTCTACTTTTCTGGCCACGGGCTCAGCACTAGCCTGCCGTTGGGAGAGAAACGGTTTTCCGGGGTTGGGGGAAGCGTGGATTCGAGGCGGGACTGCGGCTCCGCGCGGAGATGGGCGCGGCAGGCGCAGGGAGGAACTGGCGAGGTGGCCCGGGCTCGGCCCTCCGAGGGTGTGGAGCGCCCGGGACACGGGGACCCCGAGAATCCAACTGCTCCCACCCTGCGGGACCAGGAGCGGGGCTGGCGGTACTGGCGGCACTATTTCCGGGCAGGGGGCGAGGCCGGGGGACCGGGCCGGCCTGGGGCGCGGGCACGTGTGGGGGGCGGACCCGCCGAGGGTCGAGGCCCGCCCCTCAGAGAGCTCCTGGTGCTGCTGTCCCGGCCCGGGGCCCCAGGTGCGCTTCGCCTAGAGAGGGATTTTCCGGTCTCGTGGGCAGAGGAAAAACCAGGAACTCGGGCTCGGTCTCCACCCCAAAGCGGGGCGGATCCGTCCCGGATAAGACCTGCCGTCTGGCCCTGAGCAGGGTGTGACCTCCGCAGCCGCAGAGGAGCGCAGCCCGGCCTCGGTACGAGGGGTAAAGGGGCTCCGGGCTGGGGGTCCTGGGCTCGGGGAACGGGGAACATGGCCCGGGAGCGTCTCGCGGGGATGCCCGGCTCCGCGCTGCGCCCCAGAGTGGGTGTTTGCCGCCGGCTTGCGGGCAAGCCCGGGGGGCCACAGGGTGGAGGGGGCCAGCGGGCCCGGGACTCGCTCCGGGTGGGCGAGAGGGAGGCGAGTGCGGCGCCTAACCACTGGCACCATCCAGACATCCAGGGCCGCTTACACAGCTCAGGACGCGGGTCAGAGACCACGGCAGTTATTTATTCAGTCCGTGTGCTGATCTCGGGCATCAAAAAGAAAGGACCGAGATAATCTTGACTGTAGCTAACTGCGCCTAACACCTCTTACAGTTGACTTTTTGATTCTTTCTTTACTCCATTTAAGAAACTTACTCCTTTCTCCTAGATCCTTACCATTTTCTTACCTTCTCGTGTGTCCTATGCCCTCGGCACAGTGCCCGGCACATCGGAGTCTGATCATTATAGGGTCCATGACTTGAGTTGGCCGGTGGCGCAGTCTCACCAGTTTGTCATGACTTTGACCAGCTGGAGACTTTGGGGCCAAGGAGGATTGCTTCTCAACAATTTGCCGGCAGAAGTGCCCCCCGGGTCAATGCAAGTCTTCTGAGCTGATAGAGCAGAGTGGGTCCTGCATAACTCATGCTTTTCATGGAACTCGGCATCTGCTCTCTCCTGCTGACAGTGGGAAGGATAGATAGGGTGGCCCTCTCCAAGTTATCCTTTCTCCTGCCCACCGGTCCATGACACCCCACCACCCCTTTCCATTCCCTACTGTTTGCCCTTTAATTTTTTGTTTTGTTTTGAGACGCAGTGTCACTTCTGAAGCCCAGGCTGGAGTGCAGTGCCTGGATACAGCTCATGCTGTCTCCCAGGCTCAGGTGTTTCACCCACCTCAACCTCCTGAGTAGCTGAGACTACAGGTGCATGCCACCACGTGCCTATAGTCCCAGCTACTCAGGAGGTAACTGGTAACTATTGATAATCAAACCCCAGATTTTTTTTTTTTTTTTTTTTTGAGAGAGTCTTGCTCTGTCGCCCAGGCTGGAGTGCAGTGGCTCAATCTCGGCTCACTGCAAGTTCTGCCTTCCAGGTTCACACCATTCTCCTGCCTCAGCTTCGCGAGTAGCTGGGACTACAGGCACCCGACACTGTGCCCGGCTATTTTTTTGTATTTTTAGTACAGACGGGGTTTTGCCATGTTGGTCAGGCTGGTCTTGAATTCCTGACCTCAGGTGATCCACCTGCCTCAGCCTCCCAAAGTGCTGGGATTACAGGCATGAGCCACCATGCCCAGCGTCCAAACCCTAGATTTTTCGTTGCCAGGGAATTCTCAGACACAGATGGAAGAGCAAGTAGGAGAGGAAGTGGACAGGAATAAGAAAATGGATAACCCCAGTGATCCAAGAACTGCTGACTCCCCAGAGCCCTATCAGGCCAAGGCCATCCTCATTCAGCTCATGTCAGATTTCTGTTGATTGAGGATATAGACGCAAGTACACCCCTGCCCCCACTCACACGTAGACAGGCACAGGCACAGGCACACAGCTACTGGATCAAGGGCTTCTGTGAATTTCCCTCCTGGATGTTCTTGCATTTGGTTAGGGATCATTTTTCTCTGCAAGCAATTTAGAGGGTAACCCGCACAGTCAAGCCGTGCACCACTCCAGGCCTTAGTGTTTAAAGGGTGAGTCTCCTGGTCATCCCCAGGCTCATGTCCAGTGGCATGTTTCTTTGTTTATGTCCAGCCACTCTTTTGTTTTCCTGAGCTCACTTATTATCTGATTGTAGACTAAGCCTGCTTTTCTCCAAGGGAGATCAAGATGAGTGGCAGGCACTGGGGATGGTGGGCAGTGTGCCAGGGAGTACCTGAAGTTCCAGAATAAACAAGCAGTGGGGAGGCCTGGACAACATAGCAAGACCCCATCTCTACAAAAAGTTTAAAAATTAGCTGGGCATGGTAACGCCCACCTGTAGTCCCATCTACTTGGGAGGCTGGAGAGGGAGAATCGCTTAAGCCCAGGAGTTCAAGGCCACAGTGAGTTATGATCACACCACTGCACTCCAGCCTGGGTGATAAACAAACAAGCAAGCAAACAAACAAAAGCAAGAGGAGGAGATTTTCTTTGAGTGTCATTTTTACACAAATATTTCAGATTAAAAACACTTTTTATACTAAAACAATCACAGATATATTTTGAAGTAGAATCCAAAAATTATATACCTTTTAACAAGAAACCTCGAAAACATTTTGCTTGGGATTTGGGCTGCGATTTGGTCCAAACCTAGCCCTTGAGGGTTTGTTTTCACTGCAATTAGGGCTACGTATGGAGGCAGTTTGATAGACACTGCAGTGTCCTCCCTGGAGCAACTTTTAATAACACTCATCTTAGACTGTCTTATCTAATCTTCACTTCAACCTGCAGTGGGGTTATTAACATTGGTTTACAGCTGAGGATCCTAAGGTTCCATATCATCATCCTTGGTCAAGTTCAGACCATTTGTGAACTAAAGCTTAAATCCAGCTGCCAGGATACAAAAGCCTGTTCTCTTTTTTTTTTTTTTTTTTAAGACGGAGTCTGGCTGTGTGGCCCAGGCTGGAGTGCAGTGGCCGGATCTCAGCTCACCGCAAGCTCCGCCTCCCAGGTTTACGCCATTCTCCTGCCTCAGTCTCCCGAGTAACTGGGACTACAGGCGCCTGCTACCTCGCCCAGGTAGTTTTTTGTATTTTTTTAGTAGAGACGGGGTTTCACCGTGTTAGCCAGGCTGGTCTCGATTTCCTGACCTCGTGATCCGCCCGTCTCGGCCTCCCAAAGTGCTGGGATTACAGGCTTGAGCCACCGCGCCCGGCCCAAAAGCCTGTTCTCTTATCCTCTCCGCCCTACCATAACTCCATCAGTGCTTGGTTCATAGTAATTTGGAGTTGTGGCTTCGTAGGTTGTTAACTAAATCTTGAACAAATGTTTTTCTTTTTCTTATTTTCTTCTTGTCAAGCTGATGTGAAATGGGGTTGGATGAACTAGAACTGTTTCAGCTGGAAAGGGAGTGCACCTGTTGTCGCAGCTACTTGGGAGCCTGAGGTAGGAGGATCCCTTGAGCCCAGGAGTTTGAGACTGCAGTGAGCTATGATTGTGCCAGTGCACTCCAGCCTGGGTAACAGAGTGAGATCCTGTCTCTAAATAAAAAGAAAAAAGAGAGAAGTTTGCAGTGAGTGTGGGGGGTGCATGCTAGCCAGCAGCCCTAAATGCCAGAGGTGTTTGACATGTGGACAAGGGAATAAACTTGCTCTTCGAGGTGTTTGGCAGAGCTGGGTGGTAGGCTCTGGTTGAATCTGAGGAAGTGGCTTTTAAAACCCACAGACTGGGCAGCCTTGATGTTGGCGAGAGCTCTCTCACTATAGGTGTTTAGGCAGAGGTTCACAGCCCTTTTCTGATGGAGCTGGGAAGGGTTAGCAGGTTAAGCTCAGGTAACTTCTAAAGCTGAAGTTCCCAAACTTCAGGATGCATCAAAATCACCCAGGAAGCTTATACAACATGCAGATTCTGCTTATTTAAGCAGCTCCCTGGATGACTGTGATTCGGGCCTCACTTTGAGAAACTATGCTTTTTTTTTTTTTTTTTTTTTTATGTTTTGAGACAGAGGCTCTCTCTGTCACCCAGGCTGGAGTGCAATGGCGCCATCTCAGCTCACTGCAAACTTTGCCTCCCAGGTTCAGGCGATTCTCCTGCCTCAGCCTCCTGAGTACCTGGGACTACAGGTGCCCACCACCACACCCAGCTAATTTTTGTGTTTTTAGTACAGGTGGGGTTTCACCATGTTGCCAAGGCTGGTCTCGAACTCCTGACTTCAGACGATCCGCTCTCCTCAGCCTCCCAAAGTTCTGGGATTGCAGGTGTAAGCCACCATGCCCGACTGAGAAACTATGTTTTAGAAACACTTATATGAATATGTGCATACTTCTTAAATTGAATAAAGCGTTAATAAAAACATATCACCTTTCCAAGGAAACTTAGATTTTGGTCATTATGGATAAACTCCAGGTAATGTGGTAAATGCTAAAACCTTCCTTCTCAAGGATAGTTCTTTTGTTTGTTTGTTTGTTTTTGAGGCAGAGTCTTGCTCTGTCACCCACTGCTCACTGCAGCCTCTGCCTCACAGGTTCAAGTGATTCTCCTGCCTCAGCCTCCCAAGTAGCTGGGAATACAGGCACACGCCACCATGCCAGGCTAATTTTTGTATTTTTAGTGGAGACAGGGTTTCACCATGTTTGCCAGGGTGGAAACTCCTGACCTCGTGATCCGCCTGCCTCAGCTTCCCAAAGTGCTGGGATTATAGGCGTGAGCCACTGCGCCCGGCCAAGGATAGTTCTTTATTATACCAATCACATCTCCCTTGTGATTTGATTAGCAGTTTTTTTTTTCCTCTGCAAACTCACCACATAGTCTTACAGCACTAACAACTCTAGAACAATGTGGAGCTCCAACTGAATGTTTTTTTTTTTTGTCTGTTTATTGATTAACTTAATGGAAACTGAGATGGAGTACTACATTAATTCCCTGAGGAATTTAGGATTTCTGTCTAAGGCCTGTTGTTGGTTTTATTGGGAGTAGTTTATTAGTGTTTGGTTTTGTTTGAACTGGATTGAGAGCTTTTGCTATGGGAACCTGAACCGCCACCTTTGAAGAATTTAAAGATTCAAGTTGTTTGATGTCAGTAAATTGCTATACTGCTTCTTGGTCCATACCGCTTGACATGAAAAAATAGAGTGAATATTATATCCACAATCAGCACCAGAAATAATTGCAGCTAAGTGTCAGACTGTAAATTACTATGGAAAAGACCTTCTACAGCCTGGGCAACATGGTGAATTCTGTCTCTGCCAAAAACAAACAAACACATGAAAAAAACTATAAAAATTAGCCAGGTGTGGTGGTGTGCTCCTGTAGTCCCA